GGTGCCCCCCCCCGAAATCGCACCTTCCGAGTATCAGTAAGGTAGAGTAGTGTTTCCGAGTCCAATATACGGAGCCCCACCGTAATCATTCATAAAAAACTATATTTCATCACCCTGGGTGATTCACCCAAATACACAAATCCGACTCACACTATCAACTCATTTACTATTATTTCAACTACTAGGAAACACTCCATGACTCATGGACTATGAGGGAAGAAGGGAGGGAAATATACGGTATATCAACCTAGAAATTTCAAGCTATTCGTGCTACGTGAGTATTATCATGAAGCGGAACGATATTCGAATCCAACGCTTCTCCTTGGCAAGAGGAACGATGTTCAAGAGTCCCGGCGGTGACTCAGCAAAATAGTCGAACGTTGATTGAAACTGCTCGAACAGCATAATGGGAAATGTGCTCGGATATTGCACCTTCCTGAGCAAATAGTCTTCAATAGAGAGCACCACTCGGGACTTGTTCACTGAGACTCGGAACTCGGAATTTATAACTCGAAGAGATAGATCGCTCGAACGGGCCCATGGAGTCTAGTAAGGATTTGTATTCCAAAGTTCAGAGGTAGGCGCCAAAAGGTCTAATGGAAGGTACCTCCCCAGGGAGAGATGTCCATCTTTACATGAACTGTAAACGATCTCGGTGGGACTCGAACCCACAATCTTTGGTTTCGAAGACCAACGCCTTATCCATTAGGCCACGAGACCACGAGATCATCGACTGCTAACATATCCAACCAACTCTCAAGAGTTGTATCATGAAATATCTTCCGGAATAATGCTTCCTTCCAATTCTAAGAGCGTTCCTGCCTCTTCGCGATTTCCTTCCTTTATCATGCTCCGAGTGGTAATAGATTCATAACACAACAACGTTTCCCAATTTTCTACAGTGCTGAAAATGTTCGCGATCCTCCGAATTGCTTTGCAGGGCACCAAGTGCTAGGAGGTGCAAAGCACGAGATATACGGTAGGACTCTGAGTGCTGCAAGTGTTGCGGCGAGGAGAAGGAAGGGTGCAAGATCACGGTGTGATATGAGCTTTGTATAGTCGTCCGTCCACTTGCACCGTTATTGTTCCTCTCTGAGTGGGTGAGTTGGATGATTGTAGATCTGCTCATGACAGAGATCATGAGTCCACTCTCCATCGGTACCGAGGGTGGGCTTGTCGAGTTCGACAGGTCGGTGGGACTGCGATGAGCGAGGTGCTTCGCACTGTTTTCCAAGTGTAGCATTCCTCTCTTTTTCTGTATTAGACTAAAACTAAATACTCTCTTCCCATCATTCGAGGAAGCCGGTTAAAGTGTCACACTGTATTGAAATAATAACAGTAACAACAACAGTGTACAGTTATACAACAACATTCTTGACTCGAACTCTCGACGGGTCTATGTGAAGTGACGAGGATACAGCCTGAATGCGTTGAGGGAATGCAAGATCTAGTAAGATTGCAAGATACCTACCTCAACGAACTGTTTCTCAATGGCTTTCTTCGCCTCCTGTTTGTCAGAGCCGTACAAATCCTTCACATCCTCCCATCTCAAGGAGATCTTCATCCTCCCCGACGTAGTAGACGAAAGAGAGGTCACCGCCATAGGTACCTCTGATACTTCTGAAGCACCAAAGAATACTCACTAACTCAAAGTTGAGCGTATTTTTTCTCTCACGCAAATTCGCAAATTGAGTAATTTTATGCTTACTAGTAGAGTTTCATGTGAGGTGGCGTAATACTCCTAGTGAGAAATGCGATACGAAGTCAATTGAAAATACTTGCCGAATTACACCGGACAAATCCCCCCATATCACGTAAAACACATACCACGTGTTTTATGCGTTATTCACTGCTCACATGCGTTTTTCGCGGAGCGAAATGTGAAATATGGCTTCCACTATTGTTTTTCATATCCATACACCAACACAGTGTATATTTTCCAAACTCACCTGGAGGATTCAACTCGGGCGTATCAACTTTGTCCACCGCTGTTGGCGAAACCAGCGAGCTCTCTCTCGAGCTGCATGAGTTTTGCTTTGACGGAATCGGCAGAGTTGGAGTGATAGTTTTCTTCTGCTCAGCTGAACCCTCACCTTAACAGGAAATAACGCAGTATTTTCGATATGAAAAACACATTTCACATATCGCTCCGCGAAAAACTCATGTGAGCAGTGAATATCGCGTAAAACACGTGGTATGTGTTTTACATTATAGGTAAATGCAATAATAATCTTTCGTGGGGTCTAGCATTAATGGAGTTCCACGGGCGGCCGTGATATGAAAAACACTAGTGGAAAATATATTTCACTTGGCGGGAAAAATATATTATCGGCAGTCGCGGAAAGATATACGTCTTATAATTTACATGGAGTATTACCCCACTTCACGTTAAACGGATCATCGTGAAACTCCAATGACATTAACCGTAGATATATAATGAAGTTTCACGACTACCCGTTTCGCGTGAAGTGGCGTCGTAAAATTCGGTGAAAAAGGCGATATTCGCGGTGATATGCAGTAGTCGTGAAATATGTTTTTCACATCACTAGGGTACTTCTAGCAAATCCAACACAATACTCTCACTAGCCCAAATCGATCGCTTGATCGATTTCAACAATCTCACTTTCTTTCCCTTTGTTCGCCACAGAATCATCCTTAACCTCAGCAGGTAAAGATGCGGCCTTCGCCAAATCAGGTGCTGCAAACGCGTCCCACTGAATCAAATCGATCACCTGGGCGAGCGCTATCGCCATCCCCACCCCTACCGCTGCTATTGCCTCCTGAGCACTTGCTGTTGGACTCGCATTTCCCTGGAAAATGGGGAAAATTTTTCCCGGAAAAAATTTCAAAAAGAACTCACAATTTTCGTCGTAGTCGGCCAACCAAGATCTTCCGTATTCGACACCGCAGGAGCCGCTTTCTCAACATCCTTTTTCTGCTGCCTGTTATCAAATCGATCACCAGGGCGCGCGCTTTCCCCCCTCACTTTCGTTCTCTTGACTTTCCTCTCTTAGAAGCTCCTCTTCGACTTCGGCCGCGCGTCGCTTTTGCGGCTGGCCAGAAAATTTGCTGACCTCCGGTGGAAATTTCAGGTGCTGTTTTTTGGGGCTCTTTCGAAGCCTTTGGTGCGGTATCGACATCCTAGGAAGGAAATCCGTCACGCGCCACGAAATTATTCCAATATTAATCAACCATAATATCCTCAAAAATGCAAATGTGCTCATCGTGAATCGATTCAGCATCGTTTTGGAAATGATCAAAACGTAGTTCCTCAACAGTTGATGGGTCTACTCTACAAAACAGCTACACCCACTACGAGTAATTTCCGTCACGCGCCACGAAATTATCCCGCAAAAATACAGGTTTTTCTGCAGAGTGTAAATATTCTCGCAAATACCAAATCATTGTGAATCGATTGAGAACAATAGGTTTACTTCAAAACAGCTACACCCATTCCGAATAATTTCCGTCACGCGCCACGAAATTACACTCACCTTATTTTCTTGTTTACCCTGCATCGCTTCGCTCCGCTGTACCTCTTGCGAAGGAGTGTCTTCCTTCCCTACAGCCACCGGCGGCGGGGAGGAATTTCCTGTGGGGAAAAACGTCGCGTGCCGGAATCGAACCAGGGAATCATCCCTCATTTTAAATTTTCCTCATTCTTCGATCAGTCTTTCCCATGTAAATGTCATCACATTAGTAACATTTCCCCATCGTTATCAATCTTTTGGGGAAGCGTTATTTCTCAAAGTTACATGAGTTGAAATTTTATTTATTGTTTTTCTGTCTTCAGGAGGATCTGTTGATGACAGTGTATTCATGCCAAGAGTATGGCCTCGGGGGGAAACCCTGGGGGAAAAGTATGGATTTCTACTTTACCTGCTTAAAAAAAATCCCGAAGAAATTGAATATATTGGAGTTTCACCCGTGATGTGAAAAACACTAGTGAAAAACACGTTTCACATCGCGAATATCACGGTTTTGAAAAACGGTTTTTCACGTGGAGTATTACGCCACTTCGCGTAAAACGGGTGAAACTCCATTCGTATGAATTCTTTATACTCTGAAATACCATACGATACACTCTGCGGGTTAGTTTCAAAAGGGAGGATGTGTTACATGCAAAAATAGATACACCAGTTGCACAGACTACATAAATACACCGGAGTTTCTTCACCCTAGTGATATGAGAAACATATTTCACGACTACTGCATATCACCGCGAATATCGCGTTTTACACCGCCACTTCACGTAAAAGGGTAGTCGTGA